CAATGGGGTCTAGGAGTATGTATAGAACATTGGGGTCTAGGAGTCTCCCCTGGTTCAAAACCATCTTTAGAGGTCCTAGCACGCCATTTCTCGACCCGTTTTTCTGTAGAAAAACCTCTTTGAAAATTGTCCATCCACTCACGCCTCAACAGTGGATTACGAATTTTTCTCGTGCATCAAAATCATAAATAAAGTCATCGCAATTTGACTTCCGCCCACTCAATTAAGTCCCTCAAAGTAAATCATATTCCTCGACTTAATACCCCATAAACCTTGCTTATTAATAGAACCATAAAACTCAAAATACCATGGTTACGAGTGACTCCCTGAACGAGTTTTCTAGAAAACTGGTACAGTCGGTTGTTGTGCTTTCGCCTTCCAGTACCAGATAGCTAATGAAAATCCTAGCCCAAGGGGAGAGCTGGTCTTCCATCACCGCAGAGCCCCTCTCATCAACCACGTACATGCACTTTCATTTGATTTCCGCTTCAATTTCCAAGATCAAACTTCAATCTGGTTTATGTATCAAGTGTCGATGTCGGTGCACGGCGGGCGACAAGGCCGTAAAAGTAAAATAAAAATTATTTCTCGCTAACTTTTCACAAGTGTGTGAATGACACGTTGAGGGACAACGACATATTCTCCCACTCGTTAGTACTTTCACTTTTGCCCCGTTGGTTCTCCCGAAGACTAGCTGAACCCGTCACACCGATTCTATCAAATACCCTATTACGACTTTATTGTTTTTAGTGATACGCCATTGCGATAAACAAAGTAGAGCGAAATTCACTTGGGGAAATAGGAGAGGCTTTATCGCCACTTGAACACATGTGAGATTAAAGCCCAGATAACGCAGGATTAAATTGAACGTTTTGGAGAAATTAAAGGAATATGAAGACAGTGAGTACACGATTAATGATAATACTTTGATTTATTCTCAATAATTGCTCTTTCCATACGCGCGAAATAATTTCGTAGAAGAACACAGTGAATCCGACGGAAAATTCTATTGGATTTCTATTGACGAATTCCGCAGTTTTAAAATGTGTAATAGAAATTCTTTTATAGAAAACTTTAGGAGAATTTGATCTTTCCATTATCTTTTAATTTTCCAAGTTTTTTTCAGTCTCATTTTCTACTCTTTTTATTGACAATATCGAACTAAATAACTGATTTCTTCGATGGAATATTTTCTATTGAAAACAACGCGCAGTAGAACTGCGGAATTTTTCACTGGGATCAGCTAAAGACTAATAAAAAGTTCACTAGAAATTTAAGAGACTTTTTTCTAATTCACTATAAAATTCTATTGGATATCCGTTGGATTTCTAGTTAAAATTCTATCAACTTCGGAAGAATTCCGCAGTTTTACTGCGCGTTTTTGAAATTTAATATAAAATGAAATGTTCAATTTTTTTGTATTCCGATATTTTCTATAGGAATCCCTCGACATGAATTTTCTAAATTTTTTACACTCTAATTTTCTCCTCTTTTCATTTAATGAAAAGAGAACAGATTCTATCGATTCGATAGAATCTGTACCATTGAATATTTCCATTTAAAAAACACGCGCAGATAGCTTCGCAATTTTTCAAAAAAATCTTCCAAAAACCAATAGCCACTTCAATAGAAATCCACCAGAATTTTCCATCGAACTCACTAGGTTTTTCTATGAAACCTTCGTACGTGCTCTGTTCCATTCAGATTGTGATAATCGTGTCTCTAGCGATACAAGCCTTCTGTTACGACCCAATGGACAAATCCCTGAAGGACATACTTTTACCACCCGGTAAATTCGAAGCATTTTACCACAAATCACCGCAATCCGAGGAAGAAAATGCCGCAAGACCGCCTCATCTTCACGGCTCCTTTCATGCCTATCGGAATCCAGCTCTCGTGGGAGCCCCGAACAGCGCAGCCTATGGCTTCCGTTTCGATGGCAAACGACGTTTCAATTACGAATGAAATGAAAGTCCCCGTACAAACTGTTTTTTAATTGTCTGCAATTAACTGTCTCTAATAAATGCACTGCTGTATGATTCTCCCGCATATAGAATTACTCCACTTTTTTTGTCTTCTTTCCCTCCTTGTACTGTTGTTTTCACTGAGAAGAAATTCAGAGGAAGAGGATTATTACGAGAGTGGAGAAAAACGGCGAGGCTTGTGGTTAAAAATTGTGGAAAAATCAGAGCGTGCTGGATGAACGAGTGTGACGACGACAATTTGTCTTTGGGAAACTTCCGAAGAAAATCAGTGCGCTTGTTTGAGAGTCAATATTGCCTCAGTGTACTTGGCAAATCAGGGGGTACTCGGGGCTTATAATTTGCTGGGCGTTCAAGGGGCGTATCTTCGGGCACATATAACTGTCCAGCATTAATCGGGCGTTGCAGATTGAAGTAGACATTTCCAGTTTTCATGGTACAGTGCCATTGACTCCTTGCGGCTATTGCCGTGCAAATGTCGTGATAGCACTCATCAGGATGTATGCGTGTCGACGTTCAGTCAGCTTTGGAGATTAGAGTTTACTTTTTCTTTTTTGTTTGGTAATAATTAACCGCGGATTCCAGAAAATGGCACACGTTTCGACGGATTTTTTTAGGACAAGAAATCGACTTCGGATGCTGGCTTTCTGATGATCGCTGCGCGGCGGGAGGGGGGAGAAAGAGGGGGAAAGGAAATTCTAATAATTGTACAAAACAACTTGTACGAGTTTTTTTAAGCCGACAGGTTCTCGATGACAACCACCACTCTGGATAGATTCAGTGTTGGAAAAAACTGGGGAATTTGTAATCGTTCGAGAATCTTCAGGAGGGAAAACTCGTCTTCGTCTGCTTCGACGACCCTCAGACATTTGCATTGAAAGTTCATGGGCATATACAGAATTTATTGCCAGTGAAATTGTGAAAACTAGTTTTCTATTACGATTTCAGTAAAAGGGAATTAAATTTATGTGGTGGAAAGGTCAGGTGGGTTTCTCAAATTAGCGGGGGAGGGGGCAGGAGGGAAATGGATTTTAATTGGAATTTATCCGGGGTGTTTTTTTTTCAAATCGTATTTTTTTATTGCACTTTTTTCGTGATTTTCTCTTTCCGATGTAAATCAATGTGAAGGCTTCCTGGTTTCTGGAGTTTTCCTGGGGTGATTAGATAAAACTTGATCGCAGGAGGTGGGTGTCGGCTGATACGGGGAAATTATTAGTCAAGGTTGGACAGAAACCGTGAACTTCAGGTTTATGATGGGTTGCGGGAGGGGGCGGGGGGTGATAAGGATTTAACTGGAGACAGCTGCGATCTTGAGGGATTGAGAGGTTTTTTAAATCGACAGTTCGTGTTGTCTTGAGAAACGCATGGAGAGGAATTTATTATTGGTATTATGTTTTTTTATTGTGATGTCACACTATAATTAATGAAGATAATTCGGGGAGACGAGGATGTCTCCTCAAATTATTTTCATTAATTATGGTGTGACATCACAATAAAAAAAGGATGATTTGAGAACCCCAGGGTTCTTCTTTTACGAGCCCTACCATTCTCGATTCCAAAGTACTGGATTCTACCTAGAAGTACCTTGACTTAAATACCATGGGTACTGGCTTTCAAGGAAAATTACTGAGAAGTAAAACTTTTTGTCTGATTCTCCGAGAACTTTCCCTGGAATTGAGTACTTTTTGCTTATTAATTTCACCGCGGAGTACTAAAACCAAAAGAGTTTCTGGAAATCGAAACTTTTTTTTTCGTGCGCGGCATAAATATGACTTCGTCGCGATAATGAAAGTGTAGTGATATCAACTGAAGCCCTCGATTAGCCATTCGAATATTTCCCAACTTTCGCTGCAACGAAAACTGCGAAATTCCTCAATTTCTCTCACGCGGCGCAAAATTTACCCAAAAAATAACGATTCTGACGAGAATTATTGACTATTTAAAAAATGAACTGATTCATCAATGAAGAAAAAAACAGAAAATTCACGTAACTTCATTGTTGTTAAAAATTTCAAGCTTTTCACTTGAAATTTCAAGAGTAATTTTCCAACAGTACAGTTTTTTCCCAATTTTCCAACTAACTTTTTCCACACCCCCTCGCATCGTCCCCTCGAGATTTCCGTGGAAAAAATTCGTGGAAGAAAACCCGAAAAAATGGAAACCAAGAACGTGTGCCCAGGTACGCGACCTCTGTCCCTGTCCCAATTTCATTTCCCACGAATGCGACCCAGCGAAGGGCTCCCCGCGCCTGAAATCACCTCACGTACGATAATACCTCCCGTCATACCTTGAGAGGGCAATGAACACACGCATAAACAACCACACACCATGCACCATAAAAACCAAACATCCACATTTAACAGAAACGACGGAAGCCTTTAAAAGACGTGGGAACATATCGCCAGTACGACAGTCGTCCTAGTGGTGCGACTCAGTTGAGTGAGCCAAGTGTTGGGGGATATTTACGCATAGGCATGAGGATCGTTTGCCCGATAACGGTGAGTGGAGTCCGCTTCACTGATCAGACGAGATCAAGGTCTTGATGGGATTACAACGTTCTCCCATCCCCGGATTTTAATCTTCAGATAAATCCCCGGAGTACAACAAACTCATTTCTGAAAGATTGACAAACTCCCAGTGTACTGAGCAACAATAATCGGGCGTTTAGTGTCACCGGGGTGTTTCTGTTAACGGGCTGTGCGCGGAAGTGCGGCCACCGGAATAATTGTCAAAAATGAATTGTCGTGTTTACCTTGGTGTAATAAATTAAACCACTTTTTTAACTGTCGATAATTGCATACATTTCACTTTTGCAACTAATAGTGCATTTTCTATTCAGGTCGGGGCCGTCCTGCTGACCATCGCAGTGGCAGCCGGCAAGGGTGCACAAGCTGGGTGAGTACGGTGGTTGAAGTAGTAGGAACACACCGCGATTTTTAAAGATTGATATTTGGAAGAAATTTTTAATTGAAATATGCAGGGGAAATTCGCAATCGATCGATGGTTTAGGATTTTTGGTGACGATTAATTTAGAAGTACTCAATCATGGAGAGTCTTATGAGATAATGATTTTTTCGAAATTGAGAGGAAGGCATGTATGAACAAGTTTCATAGAAAAATCTAGCGAATTTACTAGACAATTCTATTGAATTGATTCGATTAGTGTTTGGTGGATTCTATTGAAATGCTCACTAGAAAATATTCTGTAGAAAAAGTCAATAGAATTTGATTTTTTAACAAATTATTCTATTGAGATATTTTCTATTGAATTTAGTCATCTCAAATTTTCCAAGTTTTTTCGTTTGATTTTCTTGATAAAAAAAGAAAAATAGAATGAAAAAATGGAAAATTTGAGCCGAAGAAATATTACAGAAAATATTTCAACAGAATAAGTTGTATAGAAAAATCGAATTCGCTAGGTTTTTCTATGAAACAGACAGTCTCAACCTTTCGTTACAAAATTTGCTCGAGAGGAAAATACTTTTGGATGTGCAGTGTAGATTTTACTGAATTAATTTCTCACTCTCATCGAAGTATTAAAACAATTCATATGAAAAATTATCAATGATGAATAATAATCCTTTCTGACATCTTAAATTACTTCTTCCACGTTACGCTCAACGATTCAACTGACGTATGTTCACACTACTGCAAACCAAACAAAAATAACATATGAAAAAACTTAACAGAAAAACGCTAGCGCTTTCTCTAAGAATTTCTATTGAATTTCTATTGGAATTCTATCAGAATTCTGTTTTTTTGCGCCAGTTCTATTAAAAATTATGCAACGCCCTTCAGCGTTATTAAATAGATATTTGTTCACAGAAAAATGTCTATAGCCCTTGAATTTTCCCTACAACTTATTCTGTCGGAATTTTCCTATAACAATTTTTGGGCACGATTTCCCCAAGTTTTTTTCCCGATCTTCATTACGATAAACAAATAAAAACAGCGGAAAAAAATTATAAAATTTACAGTCAAGAATATCCATATAAAAATCAAAATCTGTTTATTTTTCTACGAAATATTTCTCAACAAATGTCGCAAAAACAAATGGAATATTCCAACAGAATTCCAACAAACCCCCAAGTCAACCCTTCAAGATTTCCACCAGAAATTCACTACAATTTTCTACAGAAAGCGCTAGACTTTTCCACCCCATTTTGTCCGGCGATAAAGAATATTCCCCCAGAACCCTCCTAACTCCAAAAAAATCCCCAGAATGACAGCTGTCGCTCGCGTGCCGCGTGCGCTGATCCTCCAGCCAGTCTCAAAATTACGAGAGGAGGAGGAGGACGGCCCGCTGGACTGGCTGGCGAACATGTTCCGCGGGATGATATCCCCCCGGAAGAGACAGCCGCCCTACCACCAGCCCCCGATGCTGGGGCCCATCCGGATCCCGGGAATGGACGACGAAGTTTACATAAAACAGCTGGGATCCCTCGCCAACTCCCAGAGTCGCGTGATAGTCCGAATGATGACCCCCGGGCGAGGTCAGCCAGGGCAGATGTCCCCCGCCACCTACTACACCTACCAACCGGTGTTTCCGGCCGCCCCAACGCGCCAGATCCCAGTGCAGCCCCCGGGTTTCGCGCCGATGGCCTCGCCGACCCCGACGGCCCCGTGGCCGCAGCCGCAGGCGATGCGCCCGCACTCCCCCACGAGCTACAACAAAAACATGTACCCGAGCCACGGCTACCCCCAGCCGAACATGTACCCCAATCAGTTCAGACCATCAGTTCCGCTGCACCAGTCGCATTACGACCCGCCGTACAGCCCCCGCTACACGCAGAACCCGTACGGAACGTATGATTTCGATAATTCCATACCGCACGGCCGAGGCTCGCGCTTCGGCCCCGATCCCATAAGAACAACAAATTACCCGCTGTACCCACCTCTCAAGGATCATCACAATTTCAATGGCCAAGTGCACCACGACCACGAGATTAGAAATCAATCGGCGAGCAGTGAAGAAGTCTACGACGATTCGCGCGAGAGCGACGTGCGATACGCCGATGCTGAGTCTAAGGAGATTCTGAATGAGTCCAAGGTGACGGACAAGTACAAGGAGATCTATCGTCCTGACAGAATGGTGCCCACCAATCCAACGTGGAGAAACCGTTTCTGGACGAGGACGCACAGGACGACGACGGCTTCGCCGACTACCGAGGGGAGTGAGGATGAGGGGAAAAATAAATCAACGAAAGACGGGAAATTCAGTTCCACGGAGATTAGGGAAATTGTCGCGCCGGATTTGAAGGACTGGAAGGAGAGGACGGAGAAGGGCGAGCGGGAGGAGGAGAAGCGGAGGACGGACTCGAGGATGGACGAGGGCGAGGGGAAGGACGGGGTGGCGTTGGGGAAGGGGGAGAGCCGGGAGTTCGTGGAGAAGAGGGTTTTGAGTGTGAGGATGGCGGATGCGGCGAGCGAGGGGCCGAGGGCGTATGCGAAGATTCAAGCGAGGAAGAGGAGTAATTGGACGCCGATACTGCCCAAGCCCACGCAGCTTCCGGTCTATTCGGGGGGGAGCCAGGGGAACTCGGCGGAGGTGAGCAGCACGGAGGCTGCGAGGGAGACGACTACGCGGGCGAATGAGGAGGCGAATGCGACGCGCGATCACTCGCGGAGGCACGAGGGGAAGAGACACTCGAAAGTGTATCAGCGGAAGATAGGGAAGAGGGACAGGAGGGTGAGGATTGTGGAGAGCGTGAGCAGCTCAGTGTCCGTGTCGAGTTCGAGGGGCAAGGGGGTGAAGCCAAAATCGACCTGATGGGGTTTTTTTGAATGTACAAAAATCGGTTGTCGCTGCTCTTGATTGGTAGGATAATTTATCTACATAATTTAAGTTCTGTTGATTTTTTTTTCTCTGTTCTGCATGGGTGGAAAAAATTGGAGGGAACAGTTCTGGTGGAAAAAACGGAGAGGTTCTTCTGTGAATTTTTTTCGCGCGTGTGGCTTTCGTTTTTTTACGTGATATTTTTTTTTATTGAGATCAACTGCCACATTCCTATGCAAAGTGTTCACTACCATTATGTGTCTGTATTATTTGTTGATAAAACTTAATAAATGAGATTACCAAGATTTTTTTGGTGCGTTCAATTTATTTAGCGCTCCTGAAATCACATGGGCACGCTTTAGATATTGTAGTTATAGTGAAGTTGAAATTCATGAATTATCTTTGCTCTTGATCGGTAGATTAATTTATCGTTGTGTAAATCCTGTTGAGTAAAAAAAATATTTTAAAATTCACCGCATTTTTCTGAAGTTGAAGTAGTTTTTCAATTGATTTTCTTCTGTGGAAATTCGTGGATGAATTTTTCAGTTTTTTCTAATCTATTTTTTTTTCTTATCAAATAATTCACGTACAAATGTTTGACATATTAAAAAAAAACGAACAGTCTTCTTTTAATTTTTTTTTTCGCACGTGTAGTTTTGTTTTCTGTTTTTTTTTGCCACATTCCTGATATACCAAGTGTTTCCTATCATTATATGCCTGTATTATTTGTTGATAAAACATAATAAAAGAGATTACCAAGACTTTTGTAGCTCGTTCAATTTATTTATACCTCCTGCATTCACATGGGCACGCTTCAGACTTTATAAAACCACCATAAAACTCGCGTATAGACTCGGCTCTACTCCACAAACAACTCAATAGAAACTGTAGGAGACATCTCAATGAGCTATATATCACCAACTTTAACAGAATGAATTGATGCAGAACGTGGAAGAAATCCAATTTCGACGCACGGATAAACCAATTAAAATTCACGGAAGGTCAGGGGCCCCCGTGGGCCCAGCTGTATAAAATTGTAAACCAAGAGCCAGAAAAATCACGATCAGAATCTCGCCGGCTTTCTCTGTCGATGGAAAAAACTCTGCAAAGCTATAATCACTTCCATAAAACGCGAATAACTTCGGATCACAGCAAGGAGTATAAATCAAGTGAACCGAGTCACCTCACGCATTCTACTTGAAAATAAACTCCACCAGTTTCCTCGCCCATCCGGATAAATTTGAATGGTATTTTCACTCTCAGAGAAAAACGAAACAGTTTAAATTTTCTAAAACGTGAACTTGAATGAGCTGAACTGCTCTGTAACAGCGATTTTCCCATCGACTTTATCGTGATCTTGGCATTGAATACCACTTGCGTTACGCACGTGTATCGACCACACACGCGATGATGAAGATCGCGCCGACTACGTGATGAGTTCAATTAGTTTCGTTTGAAGCAGTGAAACCTTTTTTTTAAGCAGTGAAACTGTTTTTCATTTTTTTTATCCAACGCTGAATGATTAATTGTGCTTAACACGGTGAAATTCACTTTACACTCAAAGTCATGAGCTAAATCGTGAGCTTTTTTATTTGTCAATCATGAGCTTAATTGTACGAAAAAATAAATAGATTTCGATTTTTATGGATAACTTATTCTATTCAGATATTTTTTATAGAAAATCCTTGGTTTTTTTGTTCTTTTTATGGAGAAAAATAAAGTGGAAAAAATTTGGAAAATTCATGTCGAGGAATTTCTATAGAAAATGTCTTAATAAAAAAATTGTATAGAACTAGGAATTTTTAAGGATTTTTTTCATAAAATAGTTTCTATTGAACATTTTTTATCGGATCTCTATGAATTTTCTATTAGTGTTTGGCCTATTCCATAGAAAAAATCAATACAATTCGATTTTTCGATAGAACTTCCTCCACTTCAACTTTTCTCATTTTTTTGTTTGATTTTTTGAATAAAAGAGAAGAAAGATAGAGCGAAGAAAACTTGAAAAATTTATGCCGAGTAATTCCCACAGAAAATGTCTCAAAAAAAATTTCTATTGAAAATTTCCCCTAAAAAATACGCGCAGTAATATTGTCAATAGAAATTTGATACAATTTTCAATCGAATTCTACTTTCTTTTGTTATTTTTTGTGCGTGTAAAAGTGCACACTAAGCACATTGTTGAAACTATTGAGTGCTTCCTAGATACGATTGTTATCAATCGCTCCAGTTGCTGTGTCCCAGTGGTCTAGACTCCCGACTCTGCAATTAATTCACGACAATTGAGTGAGTTTAATCTCAGATCTGCACAGAAGTTGATGGAGTCGTTAAACTTCTCGTTGAGTATTCATTCTGATGCGAGTAAACACGTTCTTTTATGTCTCACATATTTGTTCCGGTCGTTGATACGTGGATGAGTCTGTAGTTTCACTGAATTCTATGGGGATATTTTGATGCGCCTCGCTAGTTCTCAACATATATAAAGCCACAAACCGAGCGCCAAAGCGCGTAGTTGGATATCTTTACAGCTACTGTTCAACATCAATCGGAATTGTACCACTTTTATCACTCGGTGTAAGTGGTTTTACATTGAGACTCGATACAGGGATGAAGAACGATCGATTGGTGAGAATTCACGTGAAGTTTAGTGATAAGAAAGTTTATTTATGTCTATAAAAAGGTATGATTCATGTTGCAGTGCGCTTTAGCATTTATCGTTGCCATGCTGATGCTGCAGGACTCTAGTGATGGGTAATCGTCTTGAATTCATTAAAGTAGCTCCACCCTTCGCCCGGGCTACGCTGTACCTTTGGATATTTTCAGTTTTCAAATTTTTCAACTAAATTGCATGGAAAAAATTTGACAAAATTCATACTCAGTCAGTATTATCTAAATTAAAATTCGCAAAATATTGATATTTTTTCAAACATTTCCCTCTTATAAATAAATAATAAAACTTGTTTGCAAAACGGTGGATTATTTTTTATGAGGTGTCGAAAAAATTCTCGATTTTTTCACATCTAATGAAAAAAATTCAGTTGTTAATCTTTGATTACAATGGAAAGGTTGATTTTTATATAAGACACTGGGCAGAATCCTGATTTTTAAACATTTCTTCTTTGAAAAACCAAAACGATGATTAAATTGAAAAAAAAATTGGAATTCCGAATCTATTCGAGTTTTCTGTAATTTTTTTGCAGTTTTCAATGATCTTTGAATTTACCGTAAGGGTAGAGCTACTTTAAATTGCGGGCTAATTTCGAATATCTCGGATTGAATCGGATGCTATCGGCTATTCTGTCGGTTTGCAGGAAAAAGGTTGTTATCCATCTACCCTATAAAGTCAAGAACATCAAGCACACGCACACTATTTACAAAGTTATACCGCATGTACACGAGGAGAAGACGGATGAACACATCGAGGAAACTGAGGAGTTCGATCACTTCAAGAAATGATGACTGGGGAGCTTTCTGGGAGGCTGCAGGACATCCGACTTGTTCTCTAGCGCCGGAGGAACACAGTGTTCACACAATGTACAAATTTAATTAATTAGTCAGCTCGTGTTAATCAGGAATAAATATTTAATTGATATTCTGCTCTTCGTTTTATTTATGCGGGCGAAAGGGTCAACGGTTAGTTGAAGGATTAGGTGTAAGGGGCTTTCTGAATTATGAGGATTAGCTTTTTTTAATTTATATTAAGGAAAAAATGTAAAAATTTTTGCAGAATTTTATGAAAAATCAATTCACATTCTCAATTTCAGTTTAATTATTTCTGAGTCTTCGATTAATTGGAAATTTAGCGTAATTCAATTCTAAAGGTTCATGTTTTCATTAAAAATTCACGTGAGTTGAATTTTTAAAAAAATTTCCAATTCCATTCAATTTTCAATGAAATAAGAACAATAAAAAAAATGAAATAAGAAATTTCAATTTTTTTATTTCTGAAATTAGTACGTTGTATGTCTATTACTTAAATCCATCCCCTTTCATTTCATTATTTCACATACTCGTATGAAAAAACTTGATAGAAAAACCTAGCGAATTTTTTGGCTGATTCTGTTGAAATGTTCAATAGAAAATATTCTACAGACAAAGTCAATAGAATTCTATTTTTCTGTGCAACTCATTCTATTCAGAAATTTTCTATAGAATTTCCTTGACTCAAATTTTCTATTATTTTCGTTGCATTTTGTAGTTAAAAAGGAAAGAAAAGTAGAATGAAAAAAACTTGGAGAATTCGAGCCTAAGAAATTCTATAGAAAAATCCAATAGAATAATGTAACGAATTCGCTCTAACGAAGAGTTACACTATGTAAAAATTTACAGCGACTACATCACCAAATTATTCCACCGTTTAAAATATTCTCGGCATTATTTTCTTCTTCATCCCCTACTCTGAAAAATTTCTAATCGAATCATGGATGCGGATAAAAAAGGGGAGAAAGTGAAGATATTTTTGCCGATGGAAACTTGTCGACTTATACTCCGGAGTTAAAAAATAATTATCTCTGGAAAACGGTGTATTGACACCCGATATTAATTCCACTTTTTGCAATTTTCTCAATATTTTTTATCCAGCTCAACTACCATGACGATTCTCTCCGCTCTGGTATTATTCTCAGTTAAATAAAATAAATCGATACATTTGTTTCACTGGTATAGAAAACACCGTGCGAATTGAATGAGATTTCCGATTCCTGGGGGCTGACGAAAAAAAAGAGAAGCAGAATTCAACTTTACAGTCGTTTTACTCCATTTCCCGTTATTCCTTCGGTGACATTGAAACTACTGCCCCGCGAGGGAAATCGTGCAAATCGCAGCGGCGGTCAATCGCGAAAGCGAGAAAATTTATTGTCATGGTACCTCGTTTAAAACAATCGAAGATACCTGAGTGACAATGAAATAAATCCATGAAAATAAAAGGGGCAGTGGAATATATAAACACAGCTGTCACCGATCAATAGACGTCAAAAGTAGTCGAGACGTTGAAAGAACATTCCTCCCATCAGCAAAGATGGTAAACGTCCAATTAAAATATTTAACATGGATTTATCTTAATTGACAAGTTTGATATATGATCATTAGATTGTCCGTCACTTTCGATTTCCCGTCTTGTTCGATTCGCAGCGAACTAGAATCATTGGTTTAATTATGATCATGAATTCGACAGTGAAAGTAGTGGCATAAATTACATTTTGTTGAAGATATTCAAACAAGTGGTTGGAAACATTTTTTTTCTTGTCGTTTTTAGGAGCCGAAACTTCTACTTTTAATTGTTTTCGCTGGGGCCGTTGGAGCTGGTGAGAATAAAGAGCAGTAAGTTTTGTCGAGAGCTTTTCGTAGTTTATCGTGGGATAATTTTGTTTGTGAAGGGGAGTACAAATCTGGTGATAAATAACTTGAAGAGTATTTTGGAGATCTGAGGGATTTTTTTGGAGGGAATTCAATGCTTTGCGAAAGGGTTATTTATTTGTAAATTTGGGGAAATTCTAAATTTTATTTAGAAGGAAGAAATCGTGGAATTTCGGATTTCAATATGGTGTAAATTTTTGAGCAACAGGGAGACGAAAATTCCTTGACTTCAACTTTTAATCAAGACATGAAAATTCGTGAGAATAATTATCGGAAGTTTCGAGGAGTCTTTTAATTTTTGTGGAATAATTGAACTGAAATTTACAATTTTCATAGATTTTTCCATAAAACAGCGAATTTTAAATGATAAAATTTTTTGAAATTTCAGTAAAACCATAATGTGATCGGAAATTGGAAGCAATAATAAATTTTTTCCATATAAATTCTCAAGAATCAATTCTTTACTGCATTTTGTCCTATTTTACACCACAAAAACCGCGAAAGAACACTTGAAATATTCACGCCCGAGAAATTTTGCAGAAAAAATCGTAACAGAATGACTCGTACAGAAAAATCATCATCTACTACTTGAAATTTCTTACTAAATGTCAAACAAAAAATTATAGATTTTCAATAGAATTCAATCAGAATTCCCATAGAATTTTCTGTTACTATTTCTCTTTCATACGTATGAATCGCGAAAAAAAATAAAGTTTAGTATAAACTACCCAGTAAACAGAACAGTCTACTTTTTGACAGAAAATTACGCGAAGAAATACTGAAATGTGCACTGTTGCTTTGAATTTATAACCATTTTGTGATTTTCAAGCTTAAAAGTCGGTATTTTTTTCCGGATTTGTTTTCACTTCTCAAAAACCGTCCATCTACTACTATAAATACAAATACATAAAATAATATTTTGTACATTTTATAATCTTTTAATATTTTGTATTAATGCAAATATGCATTAATACAAAATAATGAACTTCTCTCCTTTAATGAATTCCTTTCAGCGTTCATTTTAAGATCCACGTGCCCGAAATAATAAAGCACCACATGCACACGCACACGATATTCATTCACGTTCATCACCCATCGAAAAAGAAGAAGCCATCGCACTCGCACCATGACCACGAGGACTTGGATATTTACAACACCTACAGCCAGCACACAGGCTATGGAGGAGAGTACGAAGCAGGCGGGATGGATAATTACGCCAATAGAGATCTTCTGCAAACTCAGTATCCGTCTCTGACGACGTACAGGGGTCACCCGGAGACGACTGTCCCGTACTACGATGACTACACAGGTGACCCGCAATATCCGCGTAATCCCGACGCGCCCGAGAGTGAGTACGAGGAGGTGGTCCCTGGGTATGGCTATCCACCACTGTATACCACGAGCCATTACCAAGTTACTGAGGCTGTAGACGAAGAGCCTGGGTCCTACGAGAGGACGAACTACGAACAGAGTCGCAAATCGGGCGGGGAAGTCACGCACGATCGTGTTCATGAGAAGAAAACGAAGAGCTTTTACAAGAATAACATCGAGGAGTCTTCAGAGAAGACGACGAAAGAGAACAGTGAACAGAATTTCAAGATCCCAGGGATAGATTATCTCAAGAAGCATCTCGGTTGAGGGCGGAATTTCAATCGGTTTTTTGTATATTTTTATAATAAATTTTGTGGAAGATTACGTCTACAGTCAGTTTCTTGTTCTTTTTTATTACGTAAGGGATAACAATTAAGAATGTTTAATGTTTTTGTCTGCATTTTAATGCAGCGTGTTCACAAGAAGAAATGGAAGAGCTGTTGCAAGAATAAAACGGAGAGTATTCGGAGAAGACGATGAAAGGGAGGAATGAACAGAATTTTTAAGTTTCAGGGATTGATTATCTCAAGAAGCATCTCGGCTGAGGCTGGAATTTCACTCCTTTTTTGTATTTTTGTATATTTTTCTAATAAATTTTGTAAAAGATTATGTCTACAGACAGTTTCTCAATTTATTTATCTATCATTCCGTAAAGTAGATCAGTTTAAAATATTTAATGTTTTTGAGAAGACGAAGGGAGTGAAGAGAATTCCAGAATTCCAGGGATTTATAAAATCAAGAAGCAGATCAGTTAAGGGCGAAATTCCATTCGCTTTGTCGACAAACATTTTAAAACAAATAGTTCTATAACCTCCGGTTCTACAGCAAATGATATTTGAAGACAGCTTCGTGACTGTTTCGTCCGATTGCATAAGGTGGGCAAGTGGAAAAGGTACGGACTATTCAGACACGCCGTCTGAGTGACATTAAATTCGATTTAGAGGGAAAAGCCTATTAAACTTCAAGTTTTATGTAAAATTCAAGTGAATTCAGATAATTTCAAGTAGAAATGGGACGGAAATTTCACAACTTTTGGAAACTTTCAATTGATTTAAAATTCATAAATATATTCACTAGCATTTTCCTAATTTTCACCGAATAATTGACTCAGATTTCATAGTTGTCACTGATTTTTCCATTAAATTACAAAACTATTGAAAGAATTGTATTTTTCTGCGTCGAGATATCCTGAAATTTCAGTGGAAAATTCACTCGACACTGAAAATTCAGAGAAAAAATGCAAACTCTTGAGGTCATGTTCCCAAAAATAAATCACAGAATGCCCCTCGATTTTCCTGTACATTTTTATAACAAATTATCTAATTCTACAAAAGTCAACATTCGGAAAAATTATTTTTCCGATTAAATAAGGTACAAATGTTAGAAAAAGGTGAGGAATATTCGGACTTCCTCGGACTAGGGAGGAATATTCAATATCCACCGTGCTCTTCACCTCCACCGTACTCTCCCTCAAAATGATGCCCTCCAATTTCGTTGCCACCTGACCAATCCCCCCCGTGTCCTCCGGAGAAGCCGTGACCTCCTCCATGACCTCCAAGATCAATTGGATGACCCACTGTATATCCAAGCACTTCGTAATGATCTCCGCCGCCTGATTTATGGTGGATATGTTTTGTTATCGTGTGAGTATGCTTTAGCGTCTTTATGTGGTACGGCACGTGAATTATTACGTGGTCGCTTGAATAAAAATGAAATAGAATAAAAGATCAATTAATTATTTCGTTCCACAGATGAAATTCCGTTTCGAAAAAACCATTTAATATCTGAATAACATGAAGAATATTCTACACGTATTTTTTATTTTGAAATACGACGAGGAATGAAAAATGTAAAATTTATAAAGAAAAAAATCAAAGTAATTCGCTTTTATATTTTGATATTTTCGATTCGTTCTCGTTTGAGATAATGAAAAATGTCTTGTAAAATTGAAAATTAACTTACTGCCCTCCATGGCCACCCCCAGCTTCGCAAGACTCCATCAAAATGCCAGCGAGAAACCCAAGAATCTGGAACGCATCAATAACAATAAATTCTCTATTCTGAACGGATTATTTAAAACAAGAAAATTTATCAGAAAAATCGTATTCAAGAATTTAGCAGCTTACCTGTGCATTATTTTCGGTAGAAAATGTTCAATGGGAGAAATTCTACAGAAAAAAATAAGATTCGATTTTTCCACACAACTTATTCTATTTTTAAAATTTTTTTCTTTTGATTTGTTATTGAAAAAAGGGGAAAATGGAGTGGAAAACACTTGGAAAATTCCTGTAGAGTAAATTCTGCAGAAAATGTGTCAAAAAGTTGTACAGAAAGATAAAATTCTTCAGAATTTTTAACAGAAGAATTTTTAATAAAAATGTCCAATGGAAGAAATTCGATAGAAAGAAAATGGACTTCGATTTCTGCAAAATAAATTAATTTCTGCAAGTGAAACTAATCGAATTTTAACCGAAATTCAATACAATCTTCTGTGGAATTCGCCAGGTTTTTCCATTAATTCTTGTCATCCCAGCCCTTCCTCTTAAAAACAATATATTCCATTAGATTGAACTCACCAGAAGTCTCAGCATTGTTCAGCAACAAGTATTGTCGTCCAAGCCCCAGCAGTTGATCAGTGAAATTCACCACAGAATGTTCCTCCACTTATATAGATGTTTGATCAACTCCACCATTCTCGTAACTGAAAAGTAATAGTGCTCCGCGAATTTAAAAATTGTGAAAGGGGTAGAACAAAAACTCCACGACAGGATCCATTGTTGCCCTCTCCTCTCGACCGAACCCATTCACCGAACGTTTAACAAGATACAGAGTAGTCCAACATCTCTATTTGTTTTATTATAATCCACCTTGCACTCACGGTGAATGTCGAGAGACAGTGAATATCAATGCAATTAGCTCCTTTCACTTACGTGCAGTCAGAGGGGTTGAAAACTCCTCTTAAATGACATGAATTAGTCTATTCAGGTTCAAGGTCAATTTAATAAGAGTTAGGAGACCGAAGATAAGTGAGTCGACGATTAATTTGATTTTAATTTCCAATGAAAATTGCTGAGAAATGTGAGACGTGAGTCGACAGTGGGTGGACCAGGAGAGCGAATCCCTTTCCATCTCGAACAATTGCCAACTTCTGATAGCGGGAAAAAATACGAGTGAAAGGAGATCAAGAATGGGGAAAAAAACGGAAATGAACGACTGTGCAAGAGATTTATGGCACAACCAAGGAAACACATCAATTTTCTTTCGAACAAATCGCGCAATACTTTTAGGATTTCCGATGTCCACATAATTTCTCAGTAGTTGTTGTTATTTTCTAATACTCAAGATCAGATTATCCAACCATTTTTTGCACATCAATAATAATTTGGAATATAATCGGATCAATCTTTGCTTTCATTTGATTTCGTGATTCACCTTGGAGAAAGGCGATCAATGCGGCGTAAAAAAAATCATAAGAGCCCGCGGTGTATGCTGGAATGCAGCACGGCAGGAGGAGCTGCGAAGGGGCCACTGAATAAAAACCCCACTCGATGGGTGCTTGATATCAAACTGGGAAAAGTAGCGAAAACAAGACAGGAAAAACATGAGGATAATTTAGAGGTACAAACTGATGCATGAAGATTAAATATTTTGTTCGTTTTGCGCAATTTTTTACAACGAAGAACCAGGAAAGCTCGTGTGCAATGATCGATCGATGCGCATAAATTGTAGCCCACGAGCCCTGAAATTATCTAAATCCGTGAAGCGTTCACTCCTCGTTAACGCTGCGAGGCATTTCATACTCCATTAATGTAAATTGTATCGTAAATAAACGATCGGTCAATGATCAGGTGTGAGACGAATTGACGTGCAATTGTAGCATTCATTGTTGGGGGTTATCACTGGCAGGAAAATTTCACGGAATTTTGAATGACTCTGGCAAGTGAGAGACACTTAGAAAGCTACCAATGAACGAACAAATTTCGTAGAAAAACAAGGCGAATTCGCTGTGAAATTCTGGTGGTTTCTATTGAGGTTTCTATTAGTTTTTGGCGTCGGGACTTTTTCTTCAGTAGAGATGGTCAATGAGTTTGATTTTTCTGTACAATTTATTCTATTGAGATCATTCCTAAGATTCTAAGGTTATTATGTGGTTTTTTGAAAATAAAAGTAAATAAAAATGGAGTGGGACAAATTTTAATTTTAATTCATGTCGAGGAATTCCTATAGAAAATGTCTCAATAAAGAGTTGTACAGAAAAACCCAGCGAATTTGCTATAAAATTCTATTGAATTTCTTGTGAACTTTCGATTAGTTTATCGATTGTATTGAAAAATTACGCGACTTATCTGCGCTTAAAAAAAATGTTCAATGGAAAATGTTCTATAAAAAAATTCAATAGAGATCGATTATTTATTCCCTTCAAATATTTTCTATAGGAATTCCTCGGCTCAAATTTTCCAAGTTATTTGTTTGATTTTTCTTATAAAGAGAAGAAAAATGGCGCAAAATATTTTTTTTTTATTTGAGAATGAAATTCTACTGTGTTTCTCTGTCAAATCTTTCGCGGAATGCGTCAAAAAATCGGCCAAAAGCTAATGAAATATTCAACAGAAATTCACCAGGACTTTCCATCACATTTTCAATGTTCCATGAATTTTTTTATGCGTCCAAATCAAGCGTTTCTCCACAGCTGATAACACAAGTTGGAGATCCGAGTTGACGCCAACGACCGCCACAAAAAGCGTCGAACACGGTAACGAGAGTTAATCCAATGCCACCTTACTAATTTTACTAACGCGCTAAGAGGCAGGGATTTTCGTTCCACCACTCGTGACGTTTACGGCGCCTCGTCAAAAACAATGACACGAACACCTGTAACGAGCGTGCAGTTATGTCTCAATTCTCCTACCCCAGATTTCCCTTTTTATTGTAAAACAATCCTCATGTGCAGCCGTGAACAGGCGAAAAAAACGAGAACGTCCAGCTAGGGGAAAAAAAACTTTCTTTCCACTCTCGTCCTTCACGGGCGAATATTTTACCGATTTCGATTCCGCCTATTGGCTCTCGTAGAAAACTAACATTTCTAGTTCACAAACTTCTTTTTGCTTTTCCCTTCTCACTGCAGGGAGAACGGTAGATACACTCATTGACGATCGGCTAAACGACGGCCAGTCATTATAATTTTATCGAGAGAGAAGTTACCGGTTTGGTGGTGGTGAATTAGTTTGTGTGGGTAATACTGGATGCCTAATGGGGACTTGGGTGGGAGGATCCCCAGTAGGGTTGCTTCTTTTTATTCATCTATAAAAGCTCTGTGTCCAATCTAGGAGACTGGCAATGCGTTCTCGACTGTCGGCGGTTGATACTCGATTTAATCTCAGGCGTTCACTCAGCAGAAGGCTTTAAACTGGGGCAGACTTCTTTGGCATTTGTTAATCTCGTTTCTGTCGAAATGCTGACTGTGTTGTTCGATATTTCCACGGCTGCTGGTACATGCTAACGAGTCAGTACTGAAATTGACACTTCGAGGGCTGAAGGGATTCGGGGATTTCTACTCGATTGGACGAGCGGAACAGGCGGGCGAGATGCGTTTGTTGGTGAGTCAATTTACGGGCGTAATGAGGCTTTCTGAAATTACAGTTTTGTGAATGTTTGTTTGCAATTTTCAGACTGTAGTCGCTTGGGTCCTGGTGACCTGCGGTCCACTACTGGCTGCGGGACAGTGAGTACTTTTTAAATTGAGGGGATTCTTGGTTTTTGAATCGTTCAATCGCTTTTTGATCGGTGGATAATGGTGAGACCCATTGGGCCCTGTTTCCAGGCATTCTGCACTGATTTTATTATTTAAGCTTGGCACACTGGCATTTGAATCTCGTTATTGACTCGTTAGAAAACATTTTAGTAATCTGAAAAAATTTTAATAATCTGAAACAATGAATTTTCCATCAGGTTAGGGTGGGGAAAAACGGACACTTCAGACTTTTTTAAAATTATTCATAACTCAGAAACAAATCGATCAATTGAGCTCAGTTTATGCTCGCCACAAAGGGAAAGAATTGTTCTTTTTACTGAAAAAAAAAATTATTACATTTTATCAACATTTTAACCCCTCATTGACATTTTAAAAAAAGTCCAAAGTGTCCGTTTTACCCTAACCTCCCCCAAAAAAATCGTTTGTTCGGAATCGTACCAAATTTATTCAAATTCAGAATTTTACCAGAAATCGAACATTGTCAATGATTTGTTCATAAATAACGAATGTTTAAAAAAATAATAATTCTGCGCAAAATGTAATTTTAATAACGCTGAATATTCACCATTTTTCTTCAAATTTTTCTCACGCAATCTAATTTCCAAATTTCATGATTGAAAATCGTTGAATCTACAGTGCGGTCTTAAATAAAGTGGCTAATATTTTCTATGAAATTTCTCCCTACGTGATCCTCTGAAAAAAATTTTTTAAATAAACCAAAAAAATGCAGTTGTTAAAAAATTGAGTTATTCCGAATGCCATTCTAAAGATTTATTTTTTCCTTACAGGAAGAAAATGATATTCGTCATCCCGCGGACAGTCCGTCGTACCCAAACCCCCCCGTGGCGTCACTTCACGCGTCCCCCATTCCCAAAATTCCTGAGCAATGAATTGCCCCCGCCCCATGGTCATTCCCCCCCGCACCCCAAGTTCCCCTCGAAGACTAAATCCATTTTCTTCAATCAAAACCCCCGCCACACCGACAGCTTTGATCAGACCCCGGACAAGGTGAATCACGTAGTGATTCCCCAAGGTAAGGGAATCACTCATGCATTCGGTAATGGCTACATACCCCACGAACCCATCAGCGATCCCGGCTTCCCAGATTCCACTGGCACCCCCGAGCAAATCGAGCACAATTCCCTGAATTATTATTCCCACCCCCAAGTGACTCAGCAGACGGACAACTATCTCCAGCACTACGAGGAGGCTCATCAGCATGACAATCAGGACAGAACAGATAATCAGAGAGGGAAATATTTTCTCCAGAAAAATCTCGAGAAACCATTCAACAAAGTTGTCTATGGAATTCCCAAGAAGCCATATTTCTCGCCCGAAAGTTTCTACAACAAGGATAAATCAATTTTGACAGCGGGGGGAGTCTCGGGGGGCAGCAAAGAGCCAATTGTTCTGCGAGATGGTATTGATCTCAGTCATTACCATAAGAAGCTGGCTGAGCTGGCCAGCACCTGGCCCGGGGGCTTGCACGCGTCACCTGCATCTGCGTTATCGACTGCTGCTCATGGTAACATCCCCGACGTCGGAGGGGCGTCCCACCAGCTCTCGGGTAATTTCCAGCCGAACACCTTCGGAATCGGCTTCCTGTCCTCGAACCCGGAGGCCGAGCAGCCAGGGTACGCGGTCCAGGAGGACGTCCAGGAGGAGACCGGTCATGACTTCAGGACTCAGCCGATTCAGACCGCGCCTTCGCCTAATCCTCAGGATGCACTTCAGGCCGGGGTGCCCCAGATTCAGTTCACCATTTCTCCAGACCCCTTCATGCCGTCCCTTCAGTTCCCGGCGCCACAGGGATTCCAAGGAGTCGCCGAACATCTACGAGGGTAGAAGATTGTTTTTTTTCACTGCACGTACTAAAAAATTTTGCGGGGACAGCTTGAGGAATTGATAGATTGTTAACATTTTTTTTTGATTTATGATTTTTCACGGGGGGTTGTTGTTTATCTGGGGGAAACAATTGAGGTTTTTGTGGGAAGAAATTGTCGAATTTTCAGGGACAGGTTGAATTTTGGAATTAGGGAATTGAGCATTAGGATTCAATTGAATTTTCGATGGATTGAGAATTTAGAATTACAGGTGTCTGAGTCGATCGGGAATTTCATTGATTAATTCAGACATTCGCAGATGCAGCAGTAACAGCAACAACAAGTAGGAAATTCGTTATAAATCAGGAGTTTTTTTAATTTCAAGATTTTTTAACTTGAATTTTATTCCTCATGGGGAGTCAATGGAAATGAGCTTTTTTACTTTGGAAAATCTTTGAGCTTTCAATGACAAATTGAATTTTTTAATTTATAGAGGAAAATGAACATTCACTTGAATTTTCAATGGATTGAGAATTAAGAATTGTAATTGTCTGAATAGATCGGGAATTTCATTGATTAATGAAGACATTCGCAGATGCGTCAGTAACAACAACAATAAGTGAGGAAATGCTTTATAAATCAGCGGTTTTTTTAATTTCAAAATTTTTTACCTTGAATTTTATTCCTCATGGGGATTCAATAGAAATGGGTTTTTTTACTTTGAAAGATCGTCCAGGTTTCAATGACAGGTTGAATTATTTTAATTTATGGAAAAAAATGAACACCATGCAGGGAAATTCCGCATAAATTAGTCTTTTTAGGAAATCCAACTCAAATTCTACTAGAATTCTATTGAAATTCAAAATTCTATTTCCTTTCTTGCGATTTCTTCCGCAAGGTTCAGGTATCGGTTAGAAAGGAATTCATAGATCCTGATGTTTATATATTCCGTTCAGATTTTCCCTGTGGAAAGTCTCGGGAAATTATCCAGATTCTTTCCTCTCTATTTTGTCATATTTCTCACGACAAAATTCAAGGAAAAGGACTTGAAGAATAAATACCTGAGAATTCTTGCAGAAAAAATCGTAACAGAATGACTTGCATCCAACAATCAGCATCGATCGACTATTCTCATTAAATATCTATAAAAAAAATCACACACAACCTTCAGTAGAAATCAGCAGAAAAATCCAATTTCTACAGAATTCCCTGTGAAATTTTTTCGTACGTGTCCGTCGTGCTACCAAAGCTTTCTGTACAATTCAGAGTTCCCTACCCCCTCGCCATTCACATCTAAACTTTGTTGATCATTTTGTTAGTTTACACATAGTTCGTTAGAGACTGCTCATTTTAGATTAGAAACCATGTGATAACTCCTAGATCCGACAAGTAGACCCGACAAGTTTTCCCGTAGCTCTCGTATTTTCCTGTATTTAATTACCACAAATTTATTTGTGCAACAAATGTACTAATGATCGTTATCACTGATATCCTACGTTGAGTTGTTTTTGCAAACCGAGAAAAGCGATTCTCCATCGACTTTTATCACGGTCATGGCCAGCGTTCATGCCTCACACATCAGTTATTATCGAATAATTGCTGGTGTGTACGTGGCGTACCTTCAGCGTGTGTATCTCGAGTACCCGCTCATTCTCTCGCGATATCGTAGCACTTTCACTGGTGGAGCCGATGACCAGTTGAGCGTTTGAAAGTCTAGAAAGTTCGCTGCAACAAGATGATCCCGCATTCGCAACATCTCGGTATTCACGCAGAATATTTATAATGCATTTATTCATGTGTTTATCGAGGAAAATTTCTTCATCATTAGCATTAGCGATTTTTTAATTTATACGATATTTAATGACTGATTTATATTCTGTGGAGTTGACAAAATATGACGGAAATGAATTCAGTGGATTATTAATCTTAGAGATTAAGTAGTTTAGGGAGCAGAGAGTGTAATCTTAATGTGAACGATTATAAATCTATTGATGTTGATACTCAATAAATCTTTATGATGATGAATGTGGACTTGAGATGAGTGGATTCTAATTTAAAAATGTCTTATGGATTTTATAAAATTGACCTCGAATAATTAACGACTGAAATTTTCCCATTTTTTTAATTTTCAATGTATTTTCACTAGCTTCAAAATGAAATGTGAGTCGCTGGAATCGCCAATTGGTCATTTTTTATTTGAAAACGCAGGTAAGATAGATATGAATCCGGAATTCAATGTCATTCTCTCGAGAATTACTATCGCACTGTTTAAAATAACAATTATTTTCCAATAGTTCTCCTGAAAAATTTTGCACTGATAAAATTCTTTACATCAAATGTTCGTTCATGAGAAAGTTTCGTTATCGTGAGAAAGTGCTTTCAATCTGACACTAATGAGAGAATGTCTGCATCAATAATTCGTTATCCGTAAATTTTTATCTTTCCGAATGATCATTGATCGACATGAGTATTCATAGCATTCAGGAATTCGAATCGATAATTTTCTCCACGATTTTACTTTTAATTTCTGGTTTTACGCCGAGAAATCAGGGGAGCGCAGTTAACACGTGATTATCTAAATGCTAAGTAATGAGATATTTAGGGATATTATCCCCGTAGATACTTTTTTCATTTGCAGAGTATTTTTTCAAGCGTCAAAATGAGATGTGAGTCCCTCAGATCGCCCCATTTGGTCACGCGATATCGCCGATTAGGTTTCGCCCCTCTCCCGGAATTATTACTCGATAAAAATGATTGTTAATACCTGACATTGCTGAATGGGGGGCCGAAGAAAGTGGAGAATTCCTGACCATGAAACGATCTCGAGGCCAGCTGCGCGCTCTGCGGCGTGTGTACCAAGAAGGACAGAGACGCGTTGTATGGTAAGTAGTCGAGCCCGTATTCGCCAGACGCGAACTCCGCGAAAGGGAAAAGAGGGAGGCGATAGGTGGGAGAGGAACAAGAAGGAAACAAGCCTCCCGGTGCCGCCACAACCGGTAAGAAAGGCCAAGGAGGAATAAACTCTTCTTCTCACCACGACATCAATAAAGCGGATACGTACAACGGTGGAAAGGGAAGGTGGAAGTGTACTGCAGGCAAATGAACTCGCGGAGGCCGAGAATCCGGCGTTCTTCCACGTAAAATGAGGATTAAAACGCACTTCAAAATTTTTAGCTGAAATTTACTGTACATTATCTTGAATTTTGCCGCTGAAACTTCCCGTACATTCATTGGAAATTTTCGTCACATTCCATCAGACTGAGAGAAAATTTCGTAATATGTAGACCATATTTACTTGAGAAAAAACCAGTTACTTTTCATTATTTTCGTGAAATTAAAAATTTCATTGTTCTTTCCCTCAAAATAGAATTTAAGGATATCCAAGTGATTTATTCTTCTTTGCTGGTGGGAGATTGATGAAATAATTTAAAAATTGCAATTTTTGAAAATTACGAGCATTTGTTATGAATAAATTATAAACAATTCTATTCGGAATCATAAGAAATTTATTTATTCAGATTTTTTTTTCAATTATTTATGTACAAACAAGGCATGTTTAAAAAATAATTCTGTGCAAGACGTCATTTGAATGAGGCTTAATATTCATGATTTTTTTCAAATTCTTCTCACGCAATTCAATTGATAAATTGATGAAAAAATCACTAAAAACTGTAAATTTCCAAACATGTGAGAATAGATTCTTTATATCGAATATTGGTTCATGCTTTTGCTCAACTTCCGTTAACGCGAGAAAGTGCTTTAAACTTATGCGAGAATAATAATTCCGCATTTAACCACTAATGAGAGAATTAATGCAACAATAATTCGTTATTCGTGAATCTTAATCTTCAGGAATGATCATTGATCGGAATGAGTATTCATAGCTTCGAGGAATTCGAATCGATTATTTTCTCTCCACGATTTTACTTTTCATTTATGGTTTTATGCCGAGCAATCAGAGAACTGCAGTTAATCCGTAATTATCTAAATGCTAAGTAATGATAATAAATGTGCAGTATTGAGATATTTCTCACATTTGATTGCACCTGTTATATTATCCCCGTAGATACTGCATTCAAACGCCACTTTTATGACTCTCGGCATCGCATTGACCCCGTTATAAAATTTGCTTTCTTGATGAATACGACAATGCTCATTATCGTGCGTTGTGCGTTTATGTTCCAGTTGTAAACGGCTTTTACGCATAATACAGTTGTATTCTGTGAGATTCTCACTGAATAATTTACACAATTTAGAAATTTTTGTTTGAATTATCCGTGTAAAATCGCGGAAATTTTCAACAAGTGATATTTTAGGAAATGTTTAAAAAAAATCACATATTTCGTTCGCGCGGAGAACAATTAATGTGAATTTTAGAGAAAAAATTAACGCAAAGAGTGAATTCTCTTTCTTAACATCATTTTTCACAAAATAAATGGTAAAATTTCGTGAATTTCTGTCATATTTTTCACTGGATTTTTTGTCTAGTTCATTTTTTTTATAATTCAAGAAGAAAATCACATTTTAATTCATTAACTGAATTTTTATTCAGCGGAAATTAGAAAGAATGAAGAAAATTCCGTCGAACATATTCCGCAATCCTAAATCAATTGAAAATTCAGCTAATTTTTGTGCCTAATATTCATGTTTAATGAAAAAACTGAATGAAATTATAAAATTTCATCTCCCAGACCGCAAAAAATCATTGTCCCTCGCAACTCCTCCACCAAAATCTCAGAAACCAAAACAAAAAATGTTCAATCTCCATTTCCGGTGTGACATAAAGTGGCGGCAATTAAGTCAAGGTCGTTTTGGCGAGAATAAACAAAAATGACGCGTAGACGCGCCTAGAAAGGTATCTCCTTTCACGCACGCACTCTCCAACTCAATTTTACCGCATTATAAAAGTGCAAATTCACGATAAATAATGATAAAAGGAATGAGAGGTTCTTCGGTCTTATCCAATCATGTGCCCCATGACTACTAATGCCGCTATTAAACGATCTCAGGGGACTGTGAAAGGTGCAAAGGCCCAATAAGTGGTATAACGTAATGACAGGTTCATACACCTCAGTGCCAAGGCCACCCCGGCAGACCGCTAGAACCACTCCACTTCCGATTGGACTGACCCGAGCATTACGTTTCCTTCCGCCCCTAGAAATGAAATATCATCGGTAGCAAAAAAAAATTCCTCGATGAGAAGTGAAAGTCAAGATCGCAATGATAAATCAGTCTGAAACATTGAAATTCTGGGTACGTCATCCAGATATGTTTTTTCGCCTATTGTTAACGATTTTTTTTCCCGGTAATTGCATAAATTGATGGAACAGACGAGCAAGAAAGGGAAAACGAGGTGAGAGTGGTGGAAAGGGCACGTGTGGAGTCAAGAGTCTTCCTCAATGCTCATCCCACGACTGCAGGCACTTTCTATTTCCTCAGAATTTTTCTGATCGCGGATGAACTGGAGGTGCTCGTTGCCGCTAATCGAAGCCACGAAATTTTGTGGAATTGAAGGGAGTTTTGTCAATAGCTCATTTCGGAGGCTTTCTCATCCACATGTCAAGATTGACCTTTTTATATTCAACTTGGATGTGATCTTTCACTTTCTTCCGGTTGGCAAATGCTTCATTGCTGTCGGGGAATTACCTTTGAAATTTTTAGTAAAAAGTATTGACATTTTCAACATTTTCTTTAGGGGGAATTTTCATACATGTTTTTACTTTAAATTCTACTATTTTATTTTCAATTCTCAATTTGTTGCTAATTAAAATGAATGTAATGTTCAATTTTGAAAATGAATTTGAAAAGTCAAACTGTCGTGAACATTTGTTCACGATTGAATATAAAATACTCAATTTTGGTGACTTTCCAGGATTAATCGGAAAGTCCGTGAATGATTTGAAATTAAATTGAATTGAAATTCACAACATTGAAAATATTCATGCAGCTATCAGCTGATTTTTTTCAGGTTTCTCAGTTATTCAATGACAAGTAATAAATTATGTTTTTTAAAATAATTTGCTGAGAAAATTAACGGAAATTGTGAACTTTCGTTTAATTATTCAGTGAGAATTTATTGTCACTCGAAAAATCAGCAAAATTCAAATTGACGTGACGAAAAATTGACGTAAACTCTAAATATTTCCCTCGAAACTATTTGAATTGACAAATTCTCTCCGAGACTTCAAATTTTCCAAACCTCCCCCCTATTTTTTACACCGCCAAAAATTCGAGTCAAGTTTATAAATGAGTCCCGCCTGAAATCCCAATTATTCAATTACCCGCAATATCGAGTGTAATAATTGCGGTTTTCCAAGAAGATGAGAGGAACCTGATGCCGTTGAAAAAACAGGTTTACATAAACCAGATGAAATGGATCTGCAATGATAACCGATGGAAAGGAACGAACCCCTACGAATGAACCACACGACATTTATGTTGGAGCACGAGCCGTGTCTCTATTATATGGGCCATTTAGCGCCCCCTGCAAACAAGTAAATCCCTGCAAGCAGCACCTGATAAACAGCATAATCCGGCAAAAATTATTGCCAGTTAAAATCGAAAGTGCACGTCCCTCTAGACAGCTCTCAATACTATTTCGAGTGATGGTGATGATTCAAAAGTAATTGACGACACGAGCTCCCAGTTATTGACACAAACACAAACTGTCTAAGTGCTCGGAGTGACTCAATTTTAGTGGAGATGGAATAGGTCTAGACACGCAAGTGCATAACGTAAAAGCCCCTTGAGCCATTTTAATCTGTATCATTATGTGGGAACACGTCTAGACAGAACGGCGTTTTCCTTGGATCAACAGTTCCAATGATTCAGTGGATTTCCGATTGAATTAGGCGCCAGCATCGGCACATCCGCTGGAAGCTCAATCTGCGATTTCCCGTCCGGTAATTCGATTTAATATGACGTTTTTATTCCGAGACTATGAAATATAGTGAAAAACATACGCGGAAGGAGGTATTTTTTTGAATTATTTTTTATTCTAGAATTTTTCGATCGTTAAACCGTGAATTTCGCGATTCAACGCGGGTGAAAATATTTAATAGGAAAATCTTTCGCTTTCTCTGAGAAAATTCATTAAAAATTATATTTTTGTCACCGATTTTTATTTTTCCAGATGAATTATTTCCGTGAGCTTTTTTCTGGACGGTATTTTCGTTTTTTCGACTGTTTTTTTGTTTCTTATGACGAAATTCAATGAGAGAAACTCGTGAAATTCACCTACAAAAATCCCAATGAAAAGATCAACACCTGTTGAATTTATTCAATATAATATTTATTGAAAACCCTACGGTGAAGTTGCATAATTTTCACTGAAAATCGAAGCAAAAAATAAAATAGAATTTTTTACACAATCTCTTAATGAAAATGAAATGTTTCGATTGAATCTTTTATATTTATTCTTGATTCAAAAACACTTGGAATATAAATCTATTGTTCAAATTCCACAAAAACTCGTCATTGAAAAATCTCTGCGATAATAATTCCCTGAGAAAGTCAACGAAAACTGTCAGTTTCACTTCAATTATTCAGTGAAGACTAGGAAAAATTAACGCCATGTAATGACTATATTTTTGAATTTTGAATTAATGAAAATTCAGTTGTTCTTTCTTCATATTCAATGAAAAATTCAAAAACGAAATCATTTGAATTGTCTTGAATTCCCCCTAAATCGACTTCAACGTCAGTCTCTTGAAAAATCATTGTGAATTCTACGAAATTTCAATGTTTTTTTACAGACCAGCTTTTAAATTCGCCATTTTTTAAGGTCTCCTGACTTCTCACGATGACAAAACGTCATGCGAACTCCAATTACATAACGAATGTTACAATTTCAAACGCAAATTTTTTTCGCCTCAACACTAATAGTCCCGTCAATGAATGAGCAAAACGCTAATGACGAAATGCTGTCTCGATATTGTATAGGAAGCCCGAGACATGGCAATGATCAAGTTGAGTGGAGAATGCCCGGAGCGCGAATTTCACTGGCTGTGGGTCACGGCCGGTAGTGTGGGGCTGCACACACCGCCAACACTCACATTTCCTCCTCGTCTTCCGCCGGCAAAATCCCTCACGAGAAACAGGACAGGAACGACGATCACTCGGATATAATCATTGCCCCCACTTCCTCAATATCGTTTAAGAGCCGTTCCTTCCCTTCGACTCATTTTCTCACTGTCTGGGATATATAAACCGGAGGTTGACTTAAATATATATGACAGTGAGCATCCATCGGGTGTTGGGTGCTGATCTAAAAAAGAGGATTGAGAATTGGCAAGACGAGACACCATGGCGTCGCGCTTCACCGTAAGATGTTGAAATATTTTGGAATAATCAAGTTGCGCGATGAGTTCGTTGGCTCAAGGAATTAATCGGATTTCGGGATTTCAGGTTGGAGTGATGCTGGCTGCTACAATTGCTGTCGCAGCAGCTACTTTTGGCACGGAACAGTGAGTTCGAGCTTCTATCCTCATTTTTTTAAGTTAAATTAATGATGGAATACGAAATTTGGATTAATTACATCAAACGCGGTGTATTCGGTTTTTAATAATAGGAAGAATGAAGAATATATGCATTACGATGGCATAAACCGAACATTTCCAATCGTTTATTTAATTCAATTTACTTCAATTGAAGTTATTGATTTTTTACTATTCATTAACGGAATAGAATAACCCGCGTCTTACATTTTTCATTCAATATTCACTTTCCGAAATTTTGATAATTTTCATAGAGAAAAAAACCCTTAGATCTTTGCGTACTTGTTACTGATTTTCAGGAATTTATCACCAAAGTTTCGTGATAAAAATCACTGATCCAGTATTTCCAGTAATTGGTGAGCGATTTCTGAAAATTACAGATGTGTCCCTGACAATCTAAACTTTTTTTCTTCGGCAATTAGAAATTTGATCGAAGGTCGGGTTCAATTTGAATGCAAATTCCTCTCCGCACCTCCAGCAATAAAAATTATTCGTGCGAAAACAGCAGTTTTTTTTTCTTTTTAATAAAATAAGAAATCTTTTTCTTTCTTTCAGTGTGCACATAAAAATTCATCTTCCAGTGGAGGAGAAGCATCACGATGATCACCACGGTGGTGGAGGCGGAGGTGATCACATAGTGATAACGAGTCCGGGAGGTGGCGGTCACGGCGGTGGACACGGAGGGGGTGGCGGTGGCTTCGGGTCAAGTGGAAGTGGCGGCTACAGTTCCGGAGGTCCCGGGGACGATCACGGCCACGGCTCCAGTGATTTCGGGGGTGGGTTCGGCGGGGGCTTCGGCGGAGGTCACGGGGACGATCACGGAAGTGGCGGCTTCGGGTCTGGGGGGTACGGTGGCGGCGGTCACGGAGGCGATCACGGAAGCGGAGGCTTCGGGTCGGGGGGGTACGGTGGCGGCGGTCACGGAGGCGATCACGGAAGCGGAGGCTTCGGGTCGGGGGGGTACGGTGGCGGCGGTCACGGAGGCGATCACGGAAGCGGAGGCTTCGGGTCGGGGGGGTACGGTGGCGGCGGTCACGGAGGCGATCACGGAAGCGGAGGCTTCGGGTCGGGGGGGTACGGTGGCGGCGGTCACGGAGGCGATCACGGAAGCGGAGGCTTCGGGTCGGGGGGGTACGGTGGCGGCGGTCACGGAGGCGATCACGGAAGCGGAGGCTTCGGGTCGGGGGGGTACGGTGGCGGCGGTCACGGAGGCGATCACGGAAGCGGAGGCTTCGGGTCGGGGGGGTACGGTGGCGGCGGTCACGGAGGCGATCACGGAAGCGGAGGCTTCGGGTCGGGGGGGTACGGTGGCGGCGGTCACGGAGGCGATCACGGAAGCGGAGGCTTCGGGTCGGGGGGGTACGGTGGCGGCGGTCACGGAGGCGATCACGGAAGCGGAGGCTTCGGGTCGGGGGGGTACGGTGGCGGCGGTCACGGGTCCTCCGGGGGATTCGGCGCGAGTAGCTTCGGAAGCTCTGGACACGGGGGGGATCTCTCGTCAAGCTATGGACCGCCCTCCTCGAACTACGGACCTCCCGCTGTCGGCCATGGGGGATCGGGTGGCGGTCATGGGTCGCCTTCCTCGAGCTACGGACCCCCGGGTCATGGAGGGTCCGGTTTGAGTCACAGATCGCCTTCCTCGAACTACGGACCGCCACCGAGCTACAGTGGTCCCTCCAGCCACGGAAGTGACTCCTCATCAGGATTTGGGAGCAGGTTAGTCAACTCGCCCCTCAACGCTCGCACGGAGAAATATGTTTCGCGTATCAAACAAGACGGGGATTTTGAAAAAAAAATTAAATCGGACCGATTGTTCGGGAGGATTTAGCAACACAGTTTTTCATAAAAAGTTTAACGATTCAGTTGCTGTCGTTAATAGCAATAGCTTCAGTATCGTGGCATTCTACATCATTTCTAGGCAAAATTAGAAGATAATCAAAATTAATAATTACGAAGCCCCCACTCGGAAGCAAAAATTGAAATTTCATGGGCAGCGGACTTAGGAATTTTAGGACCGTAACATTGAATTCTATCGAGGGAGAAAAAAATATACAATTTCAGATTTCACTGGAAATTCAATGAAATTCCAAATTTTTCCGCGACAGGAAGACGAGAATTTTTTTTATTGCTACAAAAAACACCAACTGACTTGATTTCTTAAATTCATTTCTTTAATTCATTTAAAGATCCCCAACTTGGTTGAATTTTCAATGAAAACTGAATTCTCAATAATTACCAATTCAAGAATATATTCACCTAAAATTTTCAGTTTCCATTGACTATAAAATTTTCAATATTCAATAGCAAAATTCCTTGAAATTAAAAAATTTTTAATACTGCATACGCCACTCGTACAGAACGTATGTCGTTGAATACATGCGGAATGCTTTCGCCTCGTCTGAATAATTCACTCGCTTTCATGAATAAAACCCCCATGAAATGATTTGTAATGTTCTAGCGGCCACGGCGGTGGCTTTGGCGGTGGCTTTGGCGGTCACGGAGGTAGTTTCGCAGGTGCGTCAGCTCACGCGAGTAGCGGCAGCTACTCGCCAGGCCCCGGTCTAGGTTCCTACGCCTCTAGCGGAGCTGACGCTCACGGCTCAGGCCACGGATCATTCGGCGGCTCCGGTGGCGGTTCCTACTCCTCCGGCGGTCACGGCGGCGGTTTCGGCGGTGACTCCTACTCCTCTGGCGGTCACGGCGGCGGTTTTGGCGGCGATTCCTACTCCTCTGGCGGTCACGGCGGCGGTTTCGGCGGTGACTCGTACTCCTCTGGCGGTCACGGCGGCAATCAGGGGGGATTCACTGGCTATCACAAAAAGTAAAAGCTGAATTGAGGAGTCAATGAGGGGAAAAAATAATGGGATAAACATCCTGCCGCCTTTCTTATTTCCAATCCCTTCGAGCCGACAGTGGCCAAGCCTCTCTCGAATACAGCCTCCCGGCGTTGAAACATCCGTTCTCATCCCAATGCGGCTCCTGTTTTATTCGTGTGACACTGGCATATCGTCGTGAAAGTACGCGGATGTTTTAAATTTCACTGATCTCATGTGAAATTTCGTTTATCAATTGATACATACATGTGTCGCTGAACCATCGTTTTCCCTTTCTCCTCTCGTGGCCTCCTGCCAATAAGCTAGCTGCACTGTTCGGAAATTAATCTTGAAATTTTTAACAACCACAAATTTACATGAAATCGCCGCAGTTTTTTAATTGATCAATTGGGAAATTTCTGGAATACTCGATGGAATTTCCGTTTTCACGTCCTTTTAATTATAGAAGTGACCGAAAAATTAATTCAATGCTCAACTTTTACAATGTGGTTTTAAATTCTTGAATTCGTTCATTGAATTTCCAAAAACTTTCTAATATTGTTTTTTTTTAGTTTTACTGCGTTGTTTGTAACATAATTCATATGGTGCACTGTTAGAAAATTACTCGTGAAATTTTTAACAACCACAAATTTACATGAAATCGCCGCAGTTTTTTAATTGATCAATTGGGAAATTTCTGGAATACTCGACGGAATTTCCATTTTCACGTCCTTTTAATCATAGAAGTGACCGGAAAATTAATTCAATGCTCAACTTTTACAATGTGGTTTTAAATTCTTGAATTCGTTCATTGAATTTCCAAAAACTTTCTAATATTGTTTTTTTTTAGTTTTACTGCGTTGTTTGTAACATAATTCATATGGTGCACTGTTAGAAAATTACTCGTGAAATTTTTAACAACCACAAATTCACATGAAATCGCCGCAGTTTTTTAATTGATCAATTGGGAAATTTCTGGAATACTCGACGGAATTTCCATTTTCACGTCCTTTTAATCATAGAAGTGACCGGAAAATTAATTCAATGCTCAACTTTTACAATGTGGTTTTAAATTCTTGAATTCGTTCATTGAATTTCCAAAAACTTTCTAATATTGTTTTTTTTTAGTTTTACTGCGTTGTTTGTAACATAATTCATATGGTGCACTGTTAGAAAATTACTCGTGAAATTTTTAACAACCGCAAATTTACGTGAAATTTCTCTAGAATTTAAAAATCAGCCAATTATTTTGTAAAAATTGGATTGAATTCAAGTTCACACCATTTAGATTTCCGACGCAGTTGTTAATGGAATTTCAAAAGAATTTCTGACATTGTAGTATTTTTTAGTTTTATTGCGTTATGTTTGTAACATAATTCATCTGTACATATTCGTGTTTACCTGTTTGAATGTTTGTAATAAACTTTTTATATTTTTTTTAAATACTGTGTTATCACTGCTTCCCAGTCCAATGAGAATGACGAAGTGCGCAATTACCCAGGGACATTGTCTCCCGAGACTGTTTACAAGTTTTCACACAATTTCACGTGTCACAACATGTACTCTCATCGCAATTAGAGATGATAGAAGGAATTCAGGTGAAAAATAAAGTAGGTAAGACTGGAGTAGGAAGTAGAAAACCATTGAATCAACAATTTTGCGCTGTTGGAAAATTTTCTATCGCTCATCGCGTGAGAGATTCGCTCGAAATGGAAAGCCCCTGCACTTGTGTCAGGATGAAGGTGAAAGAGAATCAGGCATACGTGTCTATGGATTTTTATGGATTAATGTTTGTGCAGTTGTTGGAGAAATGGTCGGGGCGCATTTCACCGCCTACTGTTCTCATGTGCGATAGATGAGCCCACTATATCATTACGTGAAAGTAAAGCTGAGATCGATACTTCCGTTGATAAACAAATGGTCATTGCAGTTGAGGTGCAGCTGGAACAGTCAAAGTCCATCTGCAGAGTCAGTGGAACTCCAGAGAACGAAGTGCGCTTTTGCTTTCTCCGTGAAGAGGGAAAATGAATTGAGTAATCCAACGCTGATTACTCATTAATTTTACTATTCCGTGGGAAAATATTTTGCATTATCTTATCTTGTAACGATGATATTTTTGCTGCATTTTGACATAACATAATTCATTTAACTAATTATTTTATGCAAAAATAATAGGGATTCAATTACTTATGTTAATTAAAATAAGTAATTTTTACTAGAATTATTCGTTCGTTTTTTTTAAGCTCTCAATTTTTGCATTGGGATGTTAAAGAGTTGATGAAGATAATGGGCTTTTACTTTCGTCATGAAACATGAAAACGAATCGAGTAATTCAACGATAATGATTCATTAATTTTACGAGCTAATGAAGAATGAGTGATAAAGGGGGAAATCCCATGGCGAAACATTCTGAATTATGCTACTGTAAAAATAATGTTTTCATTGAATTAGCACATAAAATACCGTAATTTTTACGGGAATTATTCGTCCTTTTTTTTAAGTTCCCAATTTTTGTATTGGGATGTTAAAGAGTTGAAGTCCATTTTTAAGTGACACTTCACAGGATGAAGATGCGCTTTTACTTCCTTCATGAAAAGAGAAAATAAATTGGGTAATTCAACGATAATGATTCATTAATTTTACGAATTAATGAAGAGCGAGTAATAAATGAGGACATGTCATGGCAAAATATTCTTATCTTATTGATATTTTTGTTGAATTTTTACATAAAACACTATAATTTTCATTAGACTTATTCGTCCTCTTTTTAAGTTCCCAATTATTGTATTGGGATGTTAACGAGTTGAAGTCCACACTTTCTGCATTGAAAGAGAAAATAAATTGAGTAATTTAACGACGATGATTCGTTAATTTCAAGAGATCAGGAATGACTCATTGAAAAATGAAATTCCACCGCAAAATATCTCTACTTATGTACAAAATATCCTTCAACCCAGAGATTTTACAAAAAATAGTGCATTTTTTACCGCAATTTAGGGGTAAATTCTCACAGAAAGTGCTCTCTGTGCATTTCTAAACGAAAAATAATCCCATAAAAAATGAAATTTCACGTCTAGACACGAGCGGAAGTCATTAGACGGGTTATCCTGCAAGCGGTAATGGCTGAATGAGCAATGAACTTGACGTATGCCAAGGATATTAATTCAATCCCCCGGGCACATGAATTACACGTAACGTGAGCGCGTTGATGCATAAAAGCCCGGGAGTCCTTAGTTCGTCTCATTTCCTCAAAACTTTCCCTTCCTTCCGAGTAAAATCTTCATCCGTTGTATTATAAACATACTTATCTGCATTTGAGGCTCATTCTGGTGCGTGTTTCACAGATGTTGCCACTGAAACGAGAGTGAGAGCCAATCAGGAAGACTTTAGTTCCTATTTTGCCCCTTATGATTACACTGTTTACATTTATAAGGCGCTCAGAAGCGAAATCGAGTTTAGTCTTTACTGAAAATTCAAGAGTGCACGAGACGAGTGGAAACAATATCATGTTACGGATACAAGTGGGTTTCGTTCGATTTTTGAATTATTTAAAGTAGTATTTTCCAACTCCGCGTAAGTCGTTGAGTGCAACGAGGAAAAATAAATTTAAAATGCCCGAAAAAAATTAATTCATCAAATTCTCCCGGAAATACAAATTATAATTTTCGTGTTAAACATAAAATTTTTATTTATTTCCCGCTAATTTTTTTAGATTTTTTTCTACATTTCAATCGTCTCTCTTATCTCGGAACATTAATTTTTTAGTGAGACTGCGTTATTTTGCTACTGCTGAATTTACTATTCTCATAATAATAATAAATTTATTATTATTATAGTACTAGACTGCCAATTGAGCACGAAGTCAACCAGAAAGTTGATTATTTATATCAACTTGCGTTTAAAATTTGTTTCGAATTTATTTAATATTCAAAATTGACGTTGTGTATATACTACTTTAATTATTATGTCCTAGTTCGCGAACTCTGTTATTTCGGCGCTCAACCGGCAGAAACTGAAGACAATCGCGGTAAAACCGCCGTAATTACAGGCAATCTTCTTGATATATTGTATCGTAAAACAGACTGTAATTTTTTGCATACAAACTTTCACGTTTTGTTAATTCTATGAAAAATCCACTATAATTTTTCGCGTTACGCGCTAATGTTATAAGACGTTATGAAAGTTTGACGGTAATTCACCGTGGAAATGTAGTTATTCGGTGAAGATGCTTGCGCAATTTCAACATGTTATTATGTACTTCGTATGAGTTAGTTTTATTAATTCACTGTAATTATTGCAGCTAGTTGTCTTGATGATCCTCGCGGCGACGTTTGCGACAGCAGCGCCAGTCCCCGGGGATTCCCACCAGTAAGGGAACTTGATACAGTTCATTTTGTCCGGGATTTCCCGGTGATGGGACACTGGCATTTTTCAAAATATTACCGAGTTGAATTGGTGATAACATGTGACAATTTTTTTTACTCTAGAATGATGAAATTATTTCTGAGTTACGGATGGCGTTTGAATTTCGATTAGAGATAATTTTTATTATTGCAATAGGATAAAAAATCATAACAGCAATTTGTTTTCCTCAGGAGAATTCCCTGATTTCTATCAATTTTTATTGTCTAGTTGAACTAATTCACAGTTCCTATCGATTTTTTCATCAAATCGTGAATTTCCAATGACGAAAATCCGCGGATTTTCCGTGTAGTTGTCACTACATGCATTTGGTGCTGACAAATCGGGTTCAATACTCGTGGGAAAATTGTTCTTTGTGCCGCCTGAAAGCAGGAAGGGAGGAATTCCCAGATTTATTTGAATTTTCTATCAAAACATCAATACTCATGACCGAATTACTCTGAATCTTCAATTAATCAACACTTTAATAATAAATTCACCTGAATTTTCCTGATTTCTCTTCATTTTCATAGACTAATTGAACAAAAATTTACAGTTGCTATCGTTTTTTTCATCAACATTTGAATTTTTAATGACAAAATTCCTTGAAA